GCCTTGAGCTGAAGAGCTGAGGGACAACGCCCAGGCCCAGAGTTCAAGCCCCACGACCGACAAAAAAAAAAAAAAAAAGTTCCTGCCTGGGCTGGCTTCAAACTGCAATCCTCAGATCTCAGCCACCGGAGTAGCTAGGATCGCAGGTGTGAGCTACTGGTGCCCTGCTCCTTTTTATTTGTATATGAAATTACTCTCTCTTCAAGAATGCTGATACAGTTAATTTGTTTGTTTGTATGAGCTTTCTTCTTTTATGTATGTGTGGTACCAGGGTTTGAGCCTAGGGCCTAAGGTTTACAAAGTGGCGCTCTATGGCTTAAGCCACAACCCAGCACTGATGCATGTAACTTTAAAGACATTTTTACATGTAGCTATTACAGCCTTGACACTGAAGACTTTACCTGCTCAAGGAGAGTTCCCCATTAGACCTCCCTTGTACCGGATCCTCTTTATACATTCGTGTTCCGTAGAAATACCAGTAGAGGGCCCCTGAATTGTCTTCCCCTAGAGGTTCTACACGGAGACTGTCTGCATCCAGACCCTTGGCAGAAAAGGAAGGAGGGTTGGGGACAACAATGAACTACATAAATGGAAGAAAACTTCAATACACGAACCTATCACCTGTTTCAAAATGCCAAGTACAGGATATCATTTTTTCATCTGGGCAGATAAAACACAGAATGGGATGGAGGTACCTTCTTCGAAGAACAAGACATAGAAATGCTTGAAATTTTCAGTTCCCTACCCCAACCACGGCTCCCACCCCTCCAAAAACGGGGAATTCCAAGGAATGGTCTGACTACCTGGCTTAGATTTACTTTATACGTACACAAAAGGTAGTGGGTAGGATAAGATGCTCTAAGGCTCTGTCCCGTGTAATCCACTATGGAAGCTCAGTCAGAACCCACAGCAACATTCTGCTCCAGCTGAGACTCCCAATTTACCCCAGGGCCTGACCTAGGCTGGAGTCCTGAATGAAGACTACTTCTCAATGACATGACCAAGAAAGGACTAGAAGTCATCCCCAGGTCTAATCCTGTATGATCTGGACACCTGCCAGCCGGGCATCCGTGGCTCATGTCTGTCATCCCAGCTACTCAGGAGGCTGAGGTCTGAGGATCACGACTCAAAGCCTGCCCAGGCAGGAAAGGCCATGAGCCTCTTTATCTCCAATTAATGACCAAAAAGCCAGAAGTGGAACTGTGGCTCAAGTAGTAAAGCATTAACCTTGAGCCAAACAAAAACAAAACAAAAAGGGCTCAGGGACACTGTCCAGGCCCTAGTTCAAATTCCTATCACCCCCCCCCAAAAAAAAAAAAAGATCCAAGAGCTCTTACGTCTAACTAACCACTAAAAGACATAGAAGTAGCACTGTGGCTCAAGTGGTAGAGCACTAGCCTTGAGCAAAAAAGCTTAGGGACAGTGTCTAGGCTCTGATTTCAACGCTCCATTCTCAACTACTGGGTTTTTACTTCGCTAGAGAAAGGGCTTTCAGGGAAGCACCTTGAGTAGATCGAAGACATCATCTGCATCTAGCCGGTAATCACAGAGGCGGTGCAGAATCTCCACGCGGGTACGAAGAGGCAGGTCTTGGAAACTGGCTTCTCTCAGGGGGTTGGGTTTCCCCTCCTCAAGCTCCCAGCGGTAGTTGATAATGTCTTCCAGGTAGCTGTGGAATTTCTGAGGCCTATCCATAAGGCCCAGACAAAAATACATGAATGTACACAAAGCTGTGGCTTGAGAGCTGACAAGCTTATCAACGGCAACAAGGAGGATCTGACGGTCTTGGCTGCTTTATGTATTAGACCAACTACATGAAGTTCCAAAGAAGATAAACCTGTCCTAAGAGCTCCCCACGGAGAACTCTTAAAACACAGGCAGCAGCACATGCAAGTCAACAGCAAACTACGAAGTGGAGACAACTGTCTAACCTTTTGCTCATCCTATTTATTTATTTATGCATGCATGCGTGCATGCGTACATGCGTGCATGCCAGGCCTGGGGATTGAACTCAGGGCCTGGGCACGGTCCCTGAACTTCTTCTGCTCAAGGCTAGTGCTCTACCACTTGAGCCACAGTGCCATTTCTGGTCTTTTCTGTGTATGTGGTACTCAGGAATCGAAATGCATGCTAGGCAAGCACTCTACAACTGAGCCACATTCCCAGCCTCCAAATACTCTTAAAGATCCATTTTCTCTTTACTTTCCTATTCAAAATATTAGGAAAGACCACTGGCTCTAAGTTAGTATTGCGTGAGTAAAGAGACGAAGACCTACTTGAAGTTACCTGTTTCTTATAGCAAAGAAACCAAGACAGAACAGTAGAAAGAGAATGAAAACAAGGATGAGTCAACTGCTTTCTAACACCCAAGGTTAGCTACTTGATAGAAGTCAGCAAAGAGCTCTTCAGCCAGCTTCAGACAGAAGACACTTCCCTTCTATTGGCCAGCCCACAGGCAGAGGCAGAGGGCTGGGTACTGGCTGCTTTTAAGGGTCAGCGGGCTGGAACTGGCAGAATTCGTGACTAGGCAAAGCAACTGATTTAACAGCTGCAATTTGTTTGGGATATCATAGAAAACAGGCAGCTATTGACCTCTTAGAAGCACATGTCAGGGACATGAAAAGGTATCCAGTCTCCTTACTAGGTAGTAATTAAGGCAAAGAACCATACACAGTGCAGACTAAGTGAAAAGTAGAATCGCCTCCTTCCACACGCTTCAAGCATTGGTGAGGCTTCACTAATGCATGCACATGATTGACGAGGCCATATTTAGCAGGAGTTCTTGTAAATCAGCAAGTGAAGAGGTTGTATAAGATAATCTGAGGCCTGGGGTAGAGCGCAGCAGTGCACCATCCCCAGTACTGGAGCCACAGCCAGTGACTGAGTGTCTGTCCTTTATTTGTGTGGGTAGATGTGAATCCTGAGGCTTGAACTCAGGACCTGGGGGTGCTGTCCTTGAGCTTTTTTGCTCAAAGCTAGGGCTCTACCACTTGATCCACAGTTCCACTTCTGGTACTTTCTTGTTAATTGGAGATATAGAGTTTCATAGGTTCCTGCCTAGGCTGGCTTGATCTGCAGATCTCAGACTCCTGAGTTACAGGTACCCAGCTTGAAAGTGTTTCTTCTTTAAGATCACAGAACAATCTAGGCCAAAATAGTTAACAGATCTTTTGTTTTGTTTTGGACAGGACTTTACAATGTAGCTAAGCCTGTGGATGAAATCTGAGGATCATGGTTCAAAGCCAGCCCAACAGACAACCTGAGATTCTTATCTAAAAAAAAAACCAAAACAAAACCAGCAAAAAAAATCCTAGATGGAGGTATGGCTCAAGGCATACAGCACCAGCTGTGAGCTAATCTTAGGACCAACTCAAAAAATACTGAAATTGGAATTTTGCAATAATAAATGGGGTGATTTGACAAGAATACCTAGAGAAGTTCTATAAACACCTAACAACAAGACATCACACAGGTGCTGCCCCGAGCTACATCACACGGCTGAGATGACCTGGCAAGACCATGGTTTGAGGTCAGCCAAGCAACAAACACAGAACTGGGCATTCCATGCCTGTCATCCCAATTCTGAGGAAGGCTAAGATCTGGAACAGTAGGGCTCCAAATCAAGACAGCCAAAGGAAAAAAATCCTGGGACTTCTTATCTCGGCAGAAAATGCTAGCCCTAAATGCAGCGAGAAGACAACTTATAAGAAGCTAAATCTGGAAAAATCGCTAAAAGAAAGCATGTGAAAATAATCCTTTTGTAGTATCACTGATTTCGCACACAGGAAAAAAAATGTGAAATATATAGGAAAAAATATATTACATAGACTTGAATTAAATGTAACTTTTTTTAGAGGGAGGGAGGTCACTGGGCACTGTGGGTCTTTCACTCAAGGCTAGCACTCAAAGCTAGCTCTCTATCACTTGGAGCCACAAAGCCTCTTTTGGTTTTCTGGTAGTTAACTGGAGAGATGAGTCTTAGGACTTTCCTGCCAGAGCTGGCTTTGAACCACAACCTTCAGATCTCAGCCTCCTAAGTAGCTTGGATTACAGGTGTGAGCCATCAGTGCCCAGCTAAATAAAAACTCTTGTTCTTTAAAAACATAAATGGAGGGGCTGGGAAGGTGGCTCAGTGGTAGAGTGCTTGCCTTGCATGCCTGAGGCCCTGGGTTCGACTCCTCAGCACCACATAAGCAAAAAGAAAAAAGCCGGAAGTGGCGCTGTGGCTCAAGTGGTAGAGCACTAGCCTTGAGCTGAAGAGCTGAGGGACAGTGCCCAGGCCCAGAGTTCAGGCCCCATGACTGGCAATAAATAAATAAATAAATAAATAAATGGAAAATACACACTAGGAGCAAATATTTACACTTTGACATTGTATGTCTAACAAGGGACTTACATCCAGACTGCATAAAAAATCTACAAACTAGTAAATATCCCTAACTAAACATAAGTAATCAAAAGATGTGAGTAAACGTTTCAGCAAAAAGAGATGTACAAATGAACAAGAACGATGTCCAACATTCCTGGTCATCGGGAAAATACAAATTAAAATGACAGTGAGTTACTACCTTAAAAACAAGAGAATCCCAAGGTTTAGTGATCTTGTGAACTATGGCTTTGTTAACCTTGAGTTACAGTTTGGTTTGCAATAGTCTGGGGGAAAAAAAGACCTGAAAAAATTGAACTACGTTGGACAAGAAATGTACTCCTTAACTTACCTATGTAACTGTAACCTCTCCGTACATCACACTTACAATAAAATAAAACTTAAAAAAACTCAAAATAAAAGGGAACTGGAACTTTCCAGAAACAAACAAACAAAAAAAAGAGAATCGGTGAAATTAAAAGAGCAAATGTTGGTAAAGATATAGAGCAAGCAACTAGACTTCTCCTTTTTCACTAGTAGAAATATAAAATGTCACAACCACTTTGGAAAAAGAGTTTGGCAGTTTCTTGCTGTTAAACATACCATTACCATAAGATTCAGAAATTCTCAAAATAAATGAAAACACATTTACAGCAGCATTTGCATGCAAATACTCATAGTAGCTTTATCATAACAACCTCAAAAGCAACACACATCCCTATCAACACATGGGAAGGATAAACAGCTTGCAATTTATTTTTCACTAGATACAATTTAATCCTTCACTTGGCCAAAATGAACAAATTGATACAAACAGCAATCCCAAAGAATTCTGCAGACTTTGCACTGAATGAAAGAAGCTGGACTTGACAGTGTGTTGTCCCATTAGCACAAACTCTACAACACTACCACAAGGTATCTTAGTAAAACTGAGGCCGCTGACAGCCAGACCAGTTTACATGGGAGAGCAACTACAAAGACAACTTTCTGGGAAGATGGAAATGTTCTATGTTTCTGAGCAGAATGATGACTACATGGCACATTCATTTGTTCAAATCCATTGGCCTGCCAGGTGCCAGTGGCTCACATCTGTCATCCTAGCTACTCAGGAGGCTGAGATATGAGGCTCCTAGTTCAAAGCCAGCCCTGGCAGAAAAAGTCTATGAGACTCCTATCTCCAATTAACCACCAGAAAGCCAGACGTGGAGCTGTGGTTCAAATGATAGGCAGCTTTGAGCAAAAAAAGCTAAAGGACAGTGCCCAGGCCTTAGTTCAGGCCCCCAAACCAGTGTACAGACCCAGTCATACGCGTGCAGAAGTGGCCTGTGTGCTGAAGATAGTGATTTTACTGCATGGTGTCACAAGTTCAAATAAACACATTTAGCAGGAGCACTGTGATTTCCAAAGAGATAATGTTTAAAGGACAAACTTTCAGTACTAGATTTTGTTTCTGAAAGCAAAGCAAAGCAAAACAAAACAAAGAAAGTGGGGTTGGGAATGTGGTTCAGTGGTACAGTGCTTGCCTAGCATGAATAAAGCCCTGGGTTCAATTCCTCAGTACCACACACGTGGCATCATGGCTCAGTGATAGAGTGCTAGCCTTGAGCAAAAGAAGCTCAGGGACAGTGCCCAGGCACTGAGTTCAAGCCCCAGGACTGCCAAAACAAAAACAACAAAAACACCCCTGTGTATACTAGAGAAGAAAATGGAAAAAGAAACCCCAGCAAGAGTGAACAGGAGAACCCAGGTGCTTATCATCAACCTTGGGGAACAGAAGATAGGCAATATTCTACTACTAGCAGAACTTGGGCGTGCTCCAGAGCCGTTGGCTCCCACGACTCTGAAAGCACGTAACCTCAGACCCCTGCTCTACAAGTGCAAGCGCTGGACCCACACAGTGCAGATAACCCCAATCACCCATCAATGTGAACACCGACACTCTCCCTGCCCAGGAGACAGAACAGCGCTCCTGAATTATGAGGCAGCCTGTCAACTGCTTTGTACATTTTGTCCATTTACATGTATCCTCAGTTTTCCTTCTTTTGTACTTATAAAAATACATCTCTGATAATGCTTTTGCAACTTGTGCTGATTGCTCGACCTTTTCACCTGTCGTGTGTAATGGCCGGGGCGGGTCTGCTCCCGGTTCTCAGGGGGACATGGGCCTGGCACGGCCGTGCACCCCAGCACAGCCAAGGAGCTTTGGAGAGCCACAAGGGCCCAGAGAACCATGAGACC